GGGCCCTGCCCCCCGCCGGGCGCCAGGGGGCGGGGACACTTGGCGCCCCGGGGGCAGCCCCCCCATAGCTGCATGCCCGGGGCCGGTGCTCCCCCCGCCATGCGCCGCGCGCCCGGGGCCGGCGCTCCCCCCGCCATGCGCCCGGTGCCAGGCCAGCCCCGAGCACGGTACTAGAGGGTTCCTACTCAGTGTAAGTGAAATAGGGGTATGGCAGTCTCAGCACAGTTCCCAACTGGATCACACCACAATTAACATTAGCTGGCTACTTGTCTACAAGAAACAATGTAGCAGTGGTAGGGCAATGGTTGTGTTGACTCTGTTCTCCGCTGTTTCTAAATTATACACTGATGAGCACCAAGACATCACAAGATATTCATAATCCAAGGCAAAAATGGCTCCAATTTGGGATCTCATGTTTCAAATTAAAAAAACGCCTCAACAATTAGGATTATTTCATCCCAAAATTTGTGCGCCTTTTTCATGAAATTGCATCCTTGTCCAGTGAAAATGAATTCATTTTGAGCAAGAATTCACATATAAAAGTCTGAAAATTCTTTAGACATTTGTCCTATTTTGCATAAATAAGGACATGTTGCCTGAAAAACTCTGTAGAGCAAAATGGCAAAAACTGTTCATATGAAACATGGAGGAAAAAGATGCACAAATTTTGCAGAGCTACACTGGGACTCAATCTACTATTCCTAGTGTGCTCTACCATAAGGTACTAATAGTGCTGGGACACACACCTTATTCAATACTAGAAACCAAAAACAACAGGAAATGTAAAGAAAAATAAAATCTTAAGCACCTTTCTCATTAAATGTAGGGTAATTTTATTCAATGATTATGGCATCTTTCTGCAGCTTCCTCACATTTATTCATTATTTGATCTCTTCCTCCCATCCTCCCCAGCTCCCCGTTTTTGTTTTTCAAATGCTGATTTCCTTGTGATTCATGGGTGATTCGCAACAAGTAGACTGAACATTATCTACACAATCTCTTGCTGAGTTGTGATTGGGACAAATAAATGGAATAAAATTGTTTCTCTTTCTTAATCCACTGAAAGCACTAGTATTTCTGAGGCAAATACACTGGCATCTACAATCACACCAGAGCACTTGAGTGTCAATGAGCAGCAATCACTGAAGAAGTGTAATGTGACCAAAGGAAATTCATTGCAACATCTGAAATTATTTGCAATTTTTCACTGCAGTCCCTATCCCTTTATGCCTTCTAAAATAAGAAAAACATGCGTGACTAAGCCATAAACCAGCATATAAAAATAAGAGGAAGGCAAATTCATTCTAAGGAGGCCTCTTTACACATCAGAACGCACATTTTTCTCACAATGACATAACCTGCAATTTCAGAATGAGTCAGCACCACATCCGTCTTGGCACTTCCATCTGAAAAACACATACCTGAGTTGACCACAGGTTCAGCTGCTTGAGCGAAGGCAGTTTGATGAGGTGCTCAGCACAGGCACTCGTTACATTGGTAAAGGCCAGGCTGAGGTTTTCCAGGTTTCCAAAGGATCCTGAGCTTAATAACCGGGCCAAGTCTGCATCCTGAAAGCAAGTATCAGAGTGATAAACAAGAGAATATTCAGTCTACAACCATCTGCAATAACATGACTGATATGCTGGCGAGAAAGATGTGTACAATTGCGCCACATGTTTACAGCATTATAAAAGAACTGTTCTGCACGGTTGCTTCACTGGTCAACAGCTGAACATTTGTGGCAGCACTGCCTCATAAGCCGTTGGAAAATGAATGCAGCAGAGTCTAACATTACAACAAAATCTTCTTTTGCAAGGTTTTTATTATGGAAGACGTGGGATTCACTATCAGAGCAAATCCAGATTACCCACAAGACATGTTATTTACCCAGATACAACGTCTATTCCATTTCAAGTCCCGTGTCCCAGTTCTGCTCAGCTGAACTGACTGACTTCTCTGGCATTCATCAAGATGTATGTCATTATAGCCACTGTGACTCTGATGGCCTGTTTCAAACTTTCAAATGCAGAGTCCAGAATCAGATGTTCTGAGCTTTGCTTGTTTTCTGTAAAATTCTGCCCTCCAATCCACATACTAGATTTGATCTTAAATTCCAAATCTTCGGACAAAAACATATCCAATAACCTGACCTGCACTTGTAGAGGCACTGAAAAAGCAGACCGAAAGCACAAGTTTCCCTTTACTTGTGAAATCCCCAAGGGAATGGCTGCCCTTCTGTCTGACAAAATTACTGGGGCCAATCTCTCCCTGTCTACCACATAAAGTACATCAGTGTTTCTAAAAAAGAAGAGAAAGACTCACTGTGGATTTGGATGGCAGTGTTAATCGCGTTGGACCGCCTTTCCTTTGCTGTAACAGAGAACACACACTTTGGTTACACAGGCTACTGTCTGCATTTCAGACCTCAACCAGAGTACAGCAAGTTTTTAGCCAGAACATGCTCTGCTCCAGTTCATAAGCTTCTTGCCAGTCCTCCGACCAGCTTGCCTTGTTCTTCTCGGAGCACTGATTTCTCTCTCACAGTGTGCAGCAGCAGTTGACCAAAGACAGGTTTGTTACTGCGGAGGACAGTCCCAAACATAATAACGGATGCTCACAGGGCTGTTCTTAGGATGTATGGGCTCTACATAGTACTATTAGAATGCTGCCCCGATGGCAGTGGGGAGAAGGAGGTGACCAATGATTTTTTTATAGTTGTGATTTTATAATCTTCAGCAACACACTAATGAAATATTTTTAAAACAAAATTTAAACTTAAGACCCTGTTTACTAAACACAGTAACTTTGAGAAACTGATGGTATGAACCTGGGGTTGGCAAATGCTTGTTCCTTTCCACTTGAATGGCTCTTTCACAGATCCACTGTGCTGAGGGTCTGGCAAGCTTTTTCAATTTGATGTTAACTAGACCCTCTCTGGAGGAAGTAGAGCCAAAGAATGGGGACAGGGAGAGGCAGGTGGTTGGACATTAAGACCCAGCAGTGCCCCACATTTTCAGATGCCTACGCAACTGCATATTCTGAGTATGGGTAAGGATGACTCTGGATGCTCATTGGTACCATAAGGCAATGCTCGGTCAAGATTCATCTAGACTCTATGAGGTTAGGTTCATCTTAGATGAAATAACTCTATGAAGAGGGGCTAAGAGGTAGGAAAAGGACAGCATTCTGCAACTTATCACAACATTCCCTGTTTTCTAGTAAATCACTGTTACTCTGGGTACATTCTTCTTCGGGGGGGGGGGGGGGAAAAAGAGTAAAGAGGTAAGGCATTCAGAAGGACCAAAGGAATCTCTGTGCAATAGGCGACATTCATTTTCAATTTGTAAATTTCATGTATAAAACTAGGAAATTCAACACAAGGAACTTGTTAGCCAGCATTAATATTGCTTGAACTCGTCAGACCATTTAATTTCGGCCTCGGGTTCATCACCTGGGAACTGAACAAAGTGCTAAATCAGCAGCACCAGACGGATGATGATGTGACGGTTTAAGCACTTCAAAATGCCAGGCTGTGCTACCACCCAAAGGCCACTTGTGTACAAAAAGATAGTAGGATGTGACAATCACACTAAGACTAAGAGTCACCATTGTTCTTTATGCTGGTTAGAAACAGGATACTGAATCTCATACAGGAGCAAGATATGTTATCAAACTCTCAGAGAAATATCACATCTACAGTGAAATCCTGATTCTGGAGCATACAGACTACTATGTCTTGAGGCAATACCGTATGCAGGGTGACATACCAGTTCTTTTAATTCCCTCTGCCTGTCACACAGCTGTTCATACATTCTCTTTCCCACGTCTGTGCTTTCCAGAGTAGAGATGATTTGGAGCTGCGTGTCATTGTTGTCGATGATGTTATATTCCAGCATCAAACACAGAATCTAGCAGGAGGACAAAGAGTGAAGACTATTCAGTGGCAGCTTGGCACATCTTTTCTTCTGGACATCTTGATTGTAGGGAGTATCTTGAGCTGGACATGAACTAGGTGAAATTCTATAGTATGCACTGTTATGCAGGAGGTCGGCCTAGGAGATCTTAATGGTCCCTTCTGGCCTTAAAACCTACAAATCCTAATTTATTGATGGTGAAAAATGACTTTTTGGTCCCTGAACACTTGCCTATCCGCCCTACCCTTTACATCTGAATTCCGCAGTCAATCAATATTACATGGCAATTAAAAAAAAACACCTTTTTCTCCCAATCATTTTGATTGCTTTTCAATTACAGGAAAACTAGATTTTAACATGTAAAATTCAAGCACCAGAAAAACTCAGGCAACACAATATTCAACTTCATTCAGCACAACCACAATATTCAACATTTTTTACCAACAGTTCTCAAAGAAGTGAGTATCCGTATGTCCCCATATTAGAGATGGGGAAACTGAGAAACAGAGTAGTGAAGTGACTTGCCAAGGACTAACAGAGCTGGGAACAAACCCCCAGGTTTGCTAAAGTCCAGGCAGTGGTCTACCCACTAGGGAACACTGCCTCTCCGTAATATAGATTCAATTAAAATTATCTAAAATAAATGAAATAAGCTAATAAGGAACTAAAACACCTCCTTCTTATTTAGTCATTTCATATTTCCCTCCAAACCAAAACATACAGCCACAATGCCAGAGGAACCCCTTCTACAAGACACACACAAAACCAACATGGCACCCCTGCTAGTACAAAACCAATATGCTACTCCATGCACTACAAGCACACTTTGGTGTAAACAAATGACAAATTCCAAATGCATTTTTTACCTGGATGCTAGTTTTGCTGGGGCAGTTTAATACACCCCATAAAATACAGTTAGCTAATAGACATACAATTTTCCTAACAATTGATAGAGATTACAGATGGATTTTTATGTATAAAAATCATACAGGGCCTCAGAATGTCCTGTCCTGCACTACATACCTCCCTCTTCCATACACTGCTGAACTGGACATCAGCCTTCTTAAGGCCTGGCTGTGTGGGTTGCCTAGCCCTGCAACCCCTCTACCTTTGTCTGTCCTATTCAACATATCCATTGCCATCTCTGTCATTTCTTGATTGAAAAGCACTTAACATCATGGTGCCTCTGACTAGCTCCTGAGAACTGCTGGGAAGAAAACAGGCTTCCAATAGTATCTACAGCCACCTTTCATGTATTTCATGCTCTTAACTGTGGCAAAACAGGCACTCCTCATTGTTTGACTTGACTATACAATAGCTTTAAAGTTGGCTTTATGGAAGCATTATCCCAGGTCTTATTCTGGGAGAGGCAGTAAAAGACCAGATACTATTTATTGCCCACCAAACGTATTTGCATGGTTACTCTAGGAATTACCTCCACCATGGTCTGGTTACCCCTCAGAGCCAGTAACATGCAGGGTCCAAGTTTGTTTTCAGCCAGCGAAAGCAGGAATTTTTTTGTTTTATAACAAGACCCCATCAAAATATGAACCTGTTTAGAAGAAAAAGAGGTAGAGATAAGGGAACTGACATGGATGCCCCCAAAATAGCCAGAGAACCACATCCCATCTACTGCAAAGTAAATTATATCAGTCAGTACATGACAAAGAGCTTGCAATATTTCAACAGCTTCATGACAAAGGATATCTTTGCATTCTTCTTGACTGAACCCTTGATTGCCCATTGATTTCAATGGGACTATTCACTGGAAAACGTGCTACCCAGCGTGAGCTGTGGGAGCAGATTCTGGCTCTTAGTGAATATAGGCTCTATGAAGGAGCTGATCTGACAGCACAGGAAAAGCCCTCCGATTACCCAAGGACGGGGGGGCAGTGGCAGGGAAGTGCCCCACATAGCTTATTAGTAACTCAGTTTCTCTTCTGGGGTGGCCAGTAAGGAAACCAGTTGAAGTACTGGGAAGGTACTGGCAATCAACCTGTTTCACAGAGGCCACTGGATCACTGCCAATGGCTTTTGGTTCGTGCTGCTAACCTAGCTGGATGAGAGTCTGAGTGAGGGCAAGGGGTGTAAATCTTTGTGACAAGAGGCACCACCACCAAATTCTTGCAACAAGAGCCTATTGGACTGGCTGCTTGGAAAAGTGCATGTACAGGCAGTCCCCGAGTTACGCGGATCCGACTTATGTCGGATCCGCAGTTATGAACGGGGATTTTCTCGTCCCAGAGGACTGGAGCGGCGGGACGCCTGGTCCCGCCGCCTGCCTCCTCCGGGGCGAGAAAAGCTGCTCCCCTTCTCCCTGGTCTGCTGGGGGAGCCAGCAGACCAGGGAGACGGGGAGCAAAGCGGCGGAGGACACGGGGCCGGACCCACGGCCGCTTCCAGATCAGCTGCAAGCGCCGCGGGTCCGGCCGGGTCCTCCGCGGCTTTGCTCAGCATCTCCCTGGTCTGCAGAATCTGGACGCCAGTTCCGACTTACATGTCAGTCCGTCCAACAGCTCCCAGGCTTCATATTCTAGGTTTGAGCCTGGAGCCTAATGTGACATCACACCATACGCAGAGATAGCTTTAGGCGGGGAAAGCAAAAGTTGCTTGCAAAATTCAATTGAGAAACAGAACACTTCTCTCAAGAGAACGGCAAAGCCCTTACTCCAGTCCCTAGGCATCTGGAATGGAAAGTGGGGTATGCTGAACTTGTTGCTCACTATGGTACTTCACAAGGAATACTATTTAGAAACCATGCATTGGCTTCCTCACAGAGCAATGTGCGGCCTTCTACAGCTTCTCCTGAGCCAGGATCACACCAGGCAAAGCATGCAGTGAGTGCTGCATCTCTCTGGAGCTAACAGCACAGCTAGTCCACAATAGCTAGATCATTTCTACACAATGGGCACACATGTTGTATAAGACTGTAGAAAAATATGGGTTTGTGTGTGCACACAAAGCACACTATAGAATAGAGGGAGAACAAAGGGGGTAGGCGAGGTATGATTTATATATAGACTCCATACAGGGTATGGCTATAGAACCTCATGACCTTTGATGTTTTAGAGGAGAGTCATGCTATAAGCTTTGTCCCAGGTCTCATGAAGTTCCTCAGTGCCACCATGCTACTAGGCTGTGCTAGAGAACAGCTTATGGAAAACACTGAAAATTATTCTACTGCAGAGACCATTTTGCACACACAATAGAACATATACAACTCCATGTTTTTTCACGCCTTATTTTATTGGCAGCAAGGACTTGCCATTAGCAAAGGATCCTTGTTTCCTAAGCATTGATTTGCTCCTCCTGCAGAATGTTCTCATTTTCAGCAAATGTCCTTATTAATATTTTTTGAAGAGTGAAAAAACATACTGAAATGCTAAGGTTAAAGTCCGAATGGTTTTACCATTAGTCGTTCATAGCTCTTTAAATATTTATCAATGTCCTTTTAAGGAGTCCGGGCTAGGTCACATCACTATGGGTTACCATTACCCTTGCTTTCTCATGCTACTTTGGACTTGTCAATGCCACACAGTTATACAGTCCCCTCAAGAGCAATGATTCACTTGTAACAAAGACAGGAATTAGGACTGGCAAGGAAGAATACAGGAGAGAGAAAGATAAGCTCTGACTAGGACATGCTTCACAACTGGCTGACCAGCTGGAGTTTCAGTGCCTATATAGATAGCCACAAAAGAGCTATCTGTAGATAGCTATATAGCTATATTGCGTATAGCTATATAGGTAGCCACTGAGTGGACCCTGAACCGAAGTTAAGGCTGGCCAGAACCAGTGCCGACAGGGCATCAGGTTAGGACTTAAGTGTGTGGGGCTGCTGCCTAAGGCTAACTGAGCTCTGTGCTTAAAGAGACCCTACACACACCCCGGACAGACAGTTCTCAGGGTTCCCCGCCAGCTTGTCTACCTCAATGAGGGACAGCAAAGCAGTCCTGTCTTGGGAGTGCCCGCACTCGGGACACTGCAGCACGTGGCCCACATGGAGCCAGAGCTGCCCCTGGGCATGCCGGTGTGTCTCATAGGGTCGTTGCCATCAGCCCGGCTTTACTTGCTGCAGGCTGCCATCCGGAGAATCCATCGGGGGCTGTCAGGATCCAGGAGGCCCTGTGGGAGAGCTTCCACCCCGAGGAGCCCTCAAGAACCACCCCAGTCCCTCCCACCGGGGGCTCGTGCGCCATTCCTCCCTCACATCCTTCCACTCACCCCTCCCTAGCCCCCCTTCCTGAGGTCGAACAAAAGACACGTATGTTGAAAAATAGAAACGGGGTTTGGGTTTATTGAACAAAACTGGTGGCGGGGGGGATGAAACTCTGGGGTGACTGGGAAAAGGAGGTGGGAGAAGGGAAGAGAGAGGGTGGGAGAGGGAAACCTGGGAGGAGAGAACTGGAAGGGGGAAGCCAGGGGAAGAAGGAGGAGGGGAAGCTCAGGGCCCAGTGTTGGGGGTCTTGCTGGACCAACTTGATTTTCATGCAAACCTGCTCCTGGGTTTGCATGCGGCCTTTGGTGGCCAGGCTGGCAGCTATCTTGCCATAGATGGCTGTATTTCTTTTTTGTTTTTTTATAATGGAGATTATCTATCTCCTAGAACTGGAAGGGACCTTGAAAGGTCATTGAGTCCAGTCCCCTGCCTTCACAGCAAGACCAAGTACCATCCCTGACAAATTTTTGCCCCAAATCCCTAAATGACCTCCACAAGGATTGAACTCACAACCCTGGGTTTAGCAAGCCAATGCTCAAGCCACTGAGCTATCCCTGCCCCCCATTCCTCTGTCTAGTGCGGAGATCATGGACATTGGGGACACCCCCCTCCCCAAACCTGAATAAGATCCATGATCTCCACCCTGGACCTGGAAGGCACCTGCCTTCTCCAGCCCGTCAGGCTCCTGGGAGCTGGCAGACTGCTCCTGGGGAGCGGTGGAGGGCTGGCTGCCAGTGGCTTTTTGGGGCCCTTTTTTGGGGCCCCCGGTGCGGGCAGGGGCCCCGGTGGCCACTGCTGGCTCTGGACTGTAAGGCTTGGAGCTGGCACAGGCACTGGGGCCAGGGTCTACCCCTTTAATGGCTCCAGGGCTGGGGGAGAGAAGAGTAAGTTTTCCTGGTTGTGCCCAGAGTGGCCACCAGGGCTCCCTGGGAAGGGCTGGAGGCCCCTTATTTTGAATTAAGTGTCTACACAGCACTTAATTTGAAATAGCTATTTCAAATTTGGCGTTACTCCTCGTAGAATGAAGGTTACCAAATTCAAATTAAGCGCTCTGCTATTTCGAATGAATTTCGAAATAGCGGTTTGCATGTATAGACGCTATTAAAGTTAATTCGAAATAACAGCTGTTATTTTGAATTAACTTTGCAGTATAGACATACCCTTAGAGAGGGTGTGAGAGTGTCAGAGAGAGAGAATGTATTGGTTCAAATGTCCAGTTTTGGGGATGGAATACAAGAACAAAATCCCTTCAGGTGACCATATTTTACTGACACTCAGATTGTTAATGGTGATCATTATCCAATGGGAAACTGGGGTGTTTGTGTGTGTGATACCAATAAAATAACGGGTTACGTTTTCAAAAATGAGAATGCTAGTTCAATTATTTGCATGAGCAAACACATCTGTCTTTTATTGTGCTAGCTCCTGTCTGTGCCCTACAAATGCCTAGTTTATATTTGCAAATGGGTGGGTGACACTCCTGCATTGTCTCAGACTGCATCCACTTCTAAAAAGTAACTTCTAACTTCCTTTCCGAAACATACTCTTCTATTTGTTTTAAGGGTGTGTTGAGGGAGCTTATTTAATGAGCTATATATACAACATGTATGGATTTCTTGTTAACATACACGCTAAATGCTACTATAACTGAGAACAATGGATTTCAACTGGTTCTATGAAGGCTTGGATTTACTGGTTAAAAAATGATACTTCACAGTGCCATAATTTTGCAAGACAGGCACAAAACAAACAAAGGTATTTATTACCAGCTACATATTGGCTAAAGGCTGCAAACAAATGGCTAAACTCACGTTATTGCAGACACGTACCATACTGGCAAATAGTTCTCCATCATCATCACAGGCCACTCCCCCAGGGCTGTATAGCTGGAACCAGCCATCTTTGCCAGCCCGTACACTCAGCAAACACGAATGGACCTGCCAGACAAAGCAAAAGACATTCAAAGTTAGAGTCCACCGATATAATCAGCACATTTAGCACATCACCCAGATGGATCAACCACTCCACAAAGCGGGGGGTTGGGGGTGGAGGGTGTGTCTCTTTTGGGGTGAATATTATTATTTACAAAGCTGGAGACCATTCATTATTTTTCTTTACTCAGCAGAATCAGCACCTGAATAAGGAGAGAAGCTCTATCAAGGCTGGTTGACCAGCCCTCAATTTCCTCCACACAAAGCCCAAATTAAACTAGAGCAGATCCACCAGGAAAAGAAAACAGTTAAATTGCTGAGCTCCTTTGCCACATGCATCTTCATCACTCATTAGTCCAAATTTGGCTCTGCAGATGCCACTGCCATTGTACTTTCTATTATATCTACCTCCATGGTCTTTAACAGGTGTCCTTCCCCTTCTTGGGCCCTGCTTTACAGCAAGCTTTTCCAGTTGTTACTTTTGCTTTCAGGCCCGCCAATGGGAGAGGGGGAGCAAAGGGGGCAATTGACTTGAGGCCTGGCGATTCAAAAGGGCCTAAAGCTCCCAGCAGTGGCAACAGCTGGAGCCTCAGCCCCTTTAAATGGCTACTAGAGTGCTGGATAGTGCATTCCAGGCAGCTCTGCGGCCTGGCTGAGGGGCATGGTATGCTTTGGGTGGCACTGAGAGCAAGATTCCCAGCCCCAACTCTTCTGCTGAGAGGCCACGCCCTTTTCAAGAGTGCAGAGCTGGGTCCCTCCCCCTGGTCTTGACCAGGGCCCTGGCAAGTCTGTCAGACCCCCTCTTTGGTTTTTAATGGGTGCAGATTTATTTCAGGTTTTTTGTGCAAGGGGAGTGAAGCCGATCATCTTTCATTTGGATATATAATAATCTGCGGCCAAATTCATCAATGGTGTAATTCTAGAGAAGTCAACAGTTACACCAGAAGGCTGAGTTTGACCCTGAGAGTCTAAATTAAACCTAAATGTCAAAAATTCTCGACCTGGAGGACAATGAAGGTTCAGCGTGCCCTGGCCTGCAGTTCTATGGTAGCACTTTTTCACTGCCTGCCGATAGATAGAAAATTCATGGAGATGAGAGGCCCTGTCTGAATCAGCTGCAGCTGGTTATGTTAAACAAGTTACATATGTGGCTGTGAAGCAGTCAGCTGTCATGATACAAGAGCTATGCACCGATTCCAGGAATACCCTTCTTTGTTCAGGAAAACAAAGTCACTAGCACACAACAAAACTGAAATGTAACTAAACAAAAACTCATTGTTTTGCAAATCACAGGACCCGGAACTTGCTGCTTTCCTGTTTTCAATAGATGACGAAGAGCTTGGAGGAACCAATAGAAAATAGGAAAATAATTCTTGCTGGTTGCACTTTACTGCAAAGCACTGACATCATCAGCTAATCACTGCCACACAGGATGGAAGGCATGTTTATATATGAGGCAAGAAGCCATTCATAACACTGCAGCCTAACTCCTGAACGCATTTTGGCTCTCTAGGTGAATCAAGGGCAGAGCCTGAAAGCTGAACAGTGCTTTGGCACTTGTACTACTTCATGCAGGAACATTCTGACAGGTGCACTCACAATCCCTTTGATGATTACTCTGCTTAACTGGAAAAAGAGACTCACTTCTTGTCTTGGGTCTTCTGCAAATCTTTGAATCACATATTTCAGCTCCCTAAAAAAATAAATAAAATAAAATATGAAAACCAACAGTTGCAGAATTCACACAGGAGTCACATTTCTTGTGGGTTACATTTGAAATTAGGTGTTTGCATAAATAAATGGAACAGCGTTCAAAAGAAGTAGGTGGTCTAAAAGTGATAGGGCCTATTTTAAAAAGAGTCAGAAAGCTTTTGATGACGTATAGCGACAAACTGCTCTGTAAATTCTATCTGTATCAAATGTCTTTAGTCCTTGGACTTTTGCTGCTGCAGTATACTGCAAAACTTTTTTGTTAACAGAAATACGCTCAGACCCTCTCAGACAAAAATACTGAATACAAGGCACTCCAGGACCCATCCTTGCTAGTGCTAACTGATTATGGTATTACAGAAAGGTATTTTAAAGAAACAGATACTTACTTTGTGAACTTCTCATGTGCAAGAGCCCTGAAATTAAAAACAGAAAGGTATGAGGATTTGATGTCTTTATTTTGTAATTCTTACCCTATATATTCCATAAACATGCAAAGCAACTGTAACCTACATAAAAGGGGCAATATTTCTGAAATAGACTGAGATGCAGTCCCCCCCCCTTTCATTTAACAGTTACAAAAACAAACAGTACAAGGACAAACCCAGTCTTTAGTCAGATAAAATTCCATTAACTTTAAGAGGAGGTTCGTGTCAGCAGAAAGAGTAAAAGACTGTATGATTTGGCCACCAAACTTAAATCTGTAAACAGAATTTTGACTACATTAGACCCAAGTGTGATCTTTAATTGCACTGCAAGGTCACAACTAATTGGTGTCAGACATCAAGCAGAGCAATTAATGGTCATTCTGAAAAGTGCATTGCATCATGGTACTGGGTTATATTCTCCCTGGAGAAGCTCAGGGACTCACTCAGGCAAATGACAGCACTGTTTCCTATCTCCCAAGCCATGTTATAGTCCAGGTAGCCTGGTGCAGAAGAGTTGGACCTCGCTACTTCAAGGCACTAGGCCACTGGGGACATGATAAGCTAGTAAATTGTACCATTATAGGATGTAATGTTCACCTTTGGAGATTTGCACTTTATAAACACTAGCGCTCATTAATAGGTTTCACAGGGAACTTGGCTACTCCTTAAGTGGCAAGGCAGCTTCTTCTTTCTATCAAAACACCATGACAAACAATCTAAGCCTTGATCACATGGATGAAATATCCTTGGACAGTAAGTCATGCGCTTCTTCCTCCCCACTACTACTTCCACCTTAGTGTATCAAATTATTCAATCCACTTCAGGATCACCTTGGAAAAAAGGGGAGAGGGATACAAGGCCAAGGAAATTTCAAGCTTCTCTTTCTGTGGCCACATGGAACAAGTTCCATTGGACTTTTCCAAAGTACAAGTTCTCCAGTACAAAAACGTTTAAAAGACCCTGAGATTTCATCATAAAACAACCCCACCAACAGGGATCTCAACAAACAATCAGGTGCTATGAACTTACTCCTTGGGAAATGGGATAGGTTGAAGCAAGCTGGCCAGAGCTGGTCTCCAGTCATCATAGTCCGACCTATGAGAGGAACATTGTTATGAGTACCAAGTGCATTTAATACAGACTGTTAGCAGTTGGTTCAATGAGTCAGAAGTCATTTACTGTAAGCAGCTGCAACTTCTCTGATTTACTGAAGCACTCTAATGATCTAGGGTGACATTTTCCCTTTTCATTTTCAGCATGTTCTCTGACATGGTGCAATAAATCAGATATTTACAATGAAATGTTGAGACTTGACCTCCAGAGGCCTCCTCCACGTCACTTTAAAGACGTTAGTTGTTTATGAGACCTTCTAGCATTTAATTGCTAGGTAATATTTTTATTTAACTTTGAACTACTGTTACTAAGCCATTATTATTTACATCTCCGCTCTGAACTTTAATCAGACCTTTTTTATGGTGGAGGTGAGGGGATGAGCCAGATTACAAAGCTGCCTTCATGTTTGTCCTACAAGTATCAAGTGCAATGTTACAGCCTGATTAATAAAACAATTACATTTAGTTAATTTGAGATTTTTGTGAACTTCACTTGGCACCATTTTCAGGCACTTGGTGCGCACTCACAACTCATTAGACCCTTTTTTTCTTCTGCCTCTCAGAGGCAGCCGCTCCATTATACAACAAAGTGGCATGCAATCAATGGAATAAAAGAGTAAAATCTCTGCTCCAGAGAGCAAACTATACCCAAAGAAAAAGAAATTAAAATACTTGGCACATGGGAATAGTGCCATTTTAAACCAGACAAGGACTGAGGGATGATTCTGATCATGAAAAGGAGAAAACAGCATTGTCATTTTCCAAAGACTTTTTTTTGTGTGCAGATACATTTTGTTTGGAAAACACTTCAGCAGTGTAGCGTATGTATCTGGGTAAAGGGAAGGAAAGGATGGCAGAAGAAGCAAGACATCTATTTAGGTTGATCCTGTGCAGAGAATTCACAAGTGGAAATATCTCCTCTCTGTAAAATACCAGCAACACATACGCTGCTACTTGATTAATTTTATTTTCATCTTCAGTGTCTGCGGAGACAGTTGGCCTTATCTGAAGTACCTTCCAAAGGAGAATGTTCATGTGAACAGAGCTAAGGGAACAACAGGCTTCTGATGCAAGTCTTTGCCTGGAAAACCAAGCTCCACAATGTGCCCACAAGGTGGGAACTACAGCCGCTCCCGGACTTATGGCCACCTTCACTTACGACCATCCGCACTTACAAAGTGGTCATAAATGTGGATCCGAGTTACAAACGGTGATCTGCACTTACGAACAGCGCGGTCGCCATGTAACTCTATGGGATCCGAGTTACGAACAGTTCGAGTTACGGACCAAGTGTTGTTCCGTAACTCGGACAGTGGCTGTATTCAAATGGGCTGGTCAATGGGAAGAAGCAAAGAAGGTACGTTTTGTAAAAATAATACTCCAACAGCCTTTCACCAAAGGATCTTAAACAGCAATTAGTTAAATAGGCTCCACCACACACACTGCAAAAGAGTATTTTACCTACAGTCATTTTATAACCACTTACAGATAAGTCAAATGAAGAAAATGTAAGAGAGAAAAGAGAATGTAAGTGGTTTGACAACTCTTGTGGCCAAACTGGGAATAGAACTCAAGAGTCCTGATGCCCAGTTTGCTGTCCTAAACACTAACAGTACCACTTAGCAGGGGTAAGAAGTCCAAGAGCTCCTACAACACAGGCTGCTCCTAAGCTAAGCTCTTAATATGAGACAAATGTTGTAGAAGATCTCAAAAAGACTGTGTGGGAGAATTTTTAGCTCTTCCAAGTTCTGTTACCTTTTAGATTTGGTTTTAAAAGCTAGGACACTAGAGACTCCAGCTTTATTTCACACTTGGCACAAAATTATGATGTCTCTCCAGAGCGGAACAGCGCGTAATGTTCTCGGATGTGCATCGTGTACTCATAGTACTAAGATCGCACTCAGTTAACAGATAATAAACACATGGGAACCCACAAACAGTTATAACAGGGCAGAAGAGGTTCTGTCCCAGAGAGAAGGAATTATAGATGAGTACTGCGTCCAAAGGGCCTAGCAGCCTTCCCTAGTGGAACCAAGTCAATTCATCACATATAAACCAGACCCCCACAATCTTTAAGATATGTAGTTTAACATACAGTAAAATCCAGTTCACTAAACAATATCAATGCATGAATATAGGATTATTAACAACAAACGTATGAACTGACAATGTAAAGACCTGATAAAATTCCAATTTGAGACAATCAAAGTGAACAAATTAACAAATGAGGTAAATAAAACCGAGAGTATTATGACTCCAGCCCACTGGAAAACCTGGTGGCTTCTAGTTCTTTAGCACAACAGACACCACAACCCCCTGGGAGTCTAAAGGCATAGAAAACATGAGTGACCCAAGAAAACTGTGAGCGAGGCTAGTCCCATATCCTAGTGGTCTCTCTTCCACCCTACCACATGAGAGTGTTGGGTGGGATTCACACTTTAGGCACGAATCCCTTACATGGCATGTGTAACTGCAGAAAAACGACAATGAAAGGTACACACTTTTGGTTTCTCTATTCTGAAAAACAGCCTGCTTTTTCATGAGCATATAACCAGCTTGCACATCTACATTCTGAGCAGTTTCTCTTAGAAGGAACAGGATCTCAAATATTGTGGCCAATATGGAGTTTAGAGACATGATTTAGATATTTGTTTTCACCGAACGACCTTGTCAAGAAACAGTAAAAGAAATTGGTGTAAGATGGCAGCATGAGAAAGGACGTCAGTTAAGCACATAATGACTCAGATTTCTCCAGGACTGCAAACAACAGTTGAGAATCCTGACCATGTACCCTAATAAATCCAACTCGTTTATTACCTTCTTCTTATCTTTAGTACTTGAGATAAAAGGGGAATCTCATTCCATGTCAAGCTATGGTACTCTGTAACAGAAAGCCTCCAGTCTAGCCAGTGATTCTACAAGGCATCAGGCCTGATCTTGCCTTTTGTCATGCTGGTGTAAATCAGCAGCAACTCCCTTGAAGTCAGGGTATACAACTAGTGAGAGACCAGAATCAAGCCCACTGCAGCTACAGTGCTCTCTCAGCTCTCATTCACAGAGTTTCTTCCTTAAGACCCAGAGCACTTTTGTGGACAGTGAGCAAGGCTTTGGTTTTCTACCATTTCATAAAGGAGTGCATTCCTTCAAATAGAATAGTCCCTGAGGATGGGCCTGCCTGAAGATGATTGGTGTTAACATGAGAAAAACACCATTCACTGACACTAGGGATGTCATCCGTTAAGTGGTAAGCACCATCCTTAGCGGGTGATGTTTACCAGTTCAGGTTAACCAGCACTCAGTTAACAGCTGAGTTGGACCAGCCTCCCACCGACACAAGCAGGGGCCATTCCAGCCTTCCTTCTCATGCCCATGGGATCCAGTTTAAGCGGTTAACTGGTTAAATGTAACATTTAACTGATTAAATGGAATTTTACATCCCTGACACAGGCCCTTTCACCAGAGAATCTCCAGGCCCTTTAACAACAAGTATTTATTAAACCTCACAGCAGGCCTGATGAATAAACATAGGCACAAAAAGGTTAAGCAAAATACATCTAGGTAGGAGACAGGGTTGCCAAGTGTCCGGTATTGACCTGGACAGTCCGGTATTTTCGCCTCCCATCTGGTAAAAAAAAATTCAGAAAATACCATACACTTAAAATGTCCGGTATTTTCCAGGGTTTTTTCCCTGCCAGGAGGCGAAAATACCAGACACCGGGTAACCCTACAACACACTCAAGAACTGGGCCCAGCCCCTGGCCTCCCTCCCCCGGACTCCCTGCTTACCTGGTTCTGCAGGGAAGCTGCATTCTGGCTTGATCAAGAAAACAAAATGGCCACTGGCAAAAATCCTAAAGACCACGGGGAAGCAATGCCTTCCCTGCGTCTTAGTGCTCTACCGCTCCCCTGTTCCTATACCTATTCTGACTCTGCATACACTGAAAGGGGCCATGCTGTTTTATTTTTATTTTATTTTTTACTTTTATTTATTTATTTATTTATGCTTAATAACTCGGAGTTCTTTTTTTCCCCTTCCTCAACAACTCTGGTCTCCCCCCCTCCAAGAATTTTTTCCCCAGTTTTTTTTGGGGGGGGGAGGGGAGGGTGTTCAGTATTTTTGGTTAAACCATCTTACAACCCTAGTAGTAGAAAAGGCAGGCATTAATCTTGGGAATCTTGTGTTCTGACCACTAAACTTTTAAAAATGAGTAGTCCTGTGACACCTTAGAGACTAACAAAAGCAATAGGCCTCTGTAGAAGAGAGATGAAGAATTCCTGCTAGATGCAACCATTTAGTCAAAGTTCACAATTCATATTCAAGCTGAAATTAAATTTTGAAAATTACTCTCATTGAACCTATGGTTTGCTCCTACATAGCTTTGAGATAAAATACAACAGAACCTCAGAGTTACAAACTGACCAACCAACCATACCCTTTATTTGGAACCAGAAATACCCAATCACACAGAAGCAGAGATGGAGGGAAAACCCACAAATACAGTATAGTACTGTTAAACTATAAGAAAAGGAAAGTTTAAAAAAAAGATTTGACAAGGTGCTTGTTTCATTTACATAAAGATGATTAAAAGCAGCATTTTTCTTCTCCATAGTAAGTTTCAAAGTTGCATTAAGTCAGTGTTCCATTGTAAACTTTTGAAAGAACAGCTATAACACTTTGGTCAGAGTTATGAACAACCTCCATTCCCAGGTTCTACTGTACTGTGATCCTTTAAATCAAGAGACAGACCACTGCAAAAAGACTGGGCTAAGAAATGCAAGGCTTCTTCAATACACACTGGAGTTCAACACTTAAGATCCTTCCCAACAGAAGCTTAAAAGCTTAAACCTACTTTAAAGTTTAATATTTGAAGTCCCTGTGACATCTCAGGTAAAGTTTTATACTGTGAAAATCCTTTCTTGAGCAATCTGGAGAGTTGTGATTAGTTATAATATGCACTAATCAATTATTTTGACTGATCTTCA